ACTCTGTAATTGTAAACTAATACAACCTTCACAGAACCTATCAGAGTATCTTGTCAATTTACACTTGTTACATTCTTGTAGTTTTACCCTTTTTTTATCTCTTGCATTATCTAATTCAACCCAATAAATAAACTCTTTCTTACAATATTCTTTTTCATTTTCAGAAAGCTCCTTGTTTTTCTTGACTAATGAAAAAAAACAATCTTTTATACTTTCTTCATCAGAATTATTAGTATTAGCATTATTATGCATTTCATTATAAATTTTAAATACAAATTCTTTTCTTTCCCTTGATAACGATGATAATAATTGAGCATGTGACATTGAATTAGTGTTTTAATAAATGAGAATAACTTTTTTTTCTTTGTGGAGCAGAATTGAATGACGTGTAACAACAATTTTTTCGTACAACATTTTTTACTAACACTAATACTATGTTTTATGTCCTGTGACTAGTTAATTATTAACCCACCAGATTTATTTGTTTTCTCCAAAAGGAAATTTAGCCAAAAAATTCCTTTATCCCACCAACCCTCAAACGGTCAAAATCAAAAAAAAAAAAAATTTCTCAGATCGTCCACATATCCCAAAGAATTTTTTTTAATTCAAATACAAACAATCAAAAAAATTTGTATTTTGTTCATCGATCATTAAAATCGACCGATAAGAAACGTAGAAAGGTGCTTTTGAATCTCGGTCCAGTGACCAGAAAATATCTGGGCAAAGGCAAGGCTATCAGTTTAGTACGGTTCGAAACGTCAGAGCAAGACGAAGACCTAACGATAGGCAACGGTAGACACCACGGGGGAGGGGGGGGGGGGGGTAAAAAACGAAACACGGTTTCCAGTCAAGCATCTGCTTCTCTCAATCCTGACGTTTTGAACAAAAATAGATAAAAAATTTCGGTCGCATGAAGCATGACAAATAGATAGATGGTAATGGTGATTTGCATGTTTATTTTTTTATAATAACCAAGGCGTGAATATTGTAAAAAATAACCATTAATCATTTTTGGAAAATGAAAATGTTTTTGTTCAAGCCAGCGCAGCAAAAAAAAAAAAAAGAAAAAAAAAACGATTAGTTACAATGTTTCACCCTTTGACTTTGATCACAACATTTTAGTTTGCTAAAAGTTGGGGAACACAATGTTTATGTAAAAGATTTTGATACGAATTATTCAGAACATTTCTCGTGAAACAAACGTTTTCCAAAATCAGAGAAAAAAAAAGAAAAACGTTACGCAAACAATATGTTCGAAACTATATTTTCTTTGTGTGTGTTAAAAAGGAAACAATGTAACTCTTCTTCTCAAAAATCTCCATTCTATTGAAACAAAACACCAAGTTAAACTTTAAAATTTAAATAATGTCATATATTGGATTATTATCATTATTATCACCAGAAAGAAGTGAATCCATATTTAAAATTTACATTGAAATGTATAATTATGCTGTGGTTAATTCTGATACAGGAAGCAGAAAAGGATATTTTTTTTCATTAGTCAAAAAAAATAAGGAGCTTTCTGAAAAAGAAAAAGAATATTGTAAAGAAAAATTTATTTATGATTTTGAATTAAATAATGCAAAAGATGAATTTGGAAAACCAAAAGAATGTAAAAAATGTAAATCAACAAGATATTCTGATAGATACTGTGAAGGTTGTATTAGTTTCCAATTGCAGAGACTTTTCACCACTTGGACATCTGGAAATAACATTGTTGATAACTTTATCCAAAAATGCCAAATGAAATCATCTCTGCCAAGCAATATATTAGAATGGATACCTTTTGAACAATTTGAAGATATAAAAAAGTTAACTGAAGGTGGATTTAGTTCAATTTATACTGCTACATGGACAAGAGGACAAATAATTGATTACAATGAAAAGAAAAAAGAACTTAGTTATTTTGGAAGGCAAGAAGTAGTATTAAAAAGTTTAAATGATTCAAGTAATCCAGGAAAACCATTTTTTGATGAGGTTGGTAGTTGGTTGTCATTTAATACAAAAATAAATAATATAATACTAATTGATTTTATATTTATTTTCAGGCAATGAATTATTGTAAAGTTAAATCACATATGGTTGTTTTTTGCTATGGTGTAACTAAATTCTCAGATAATGGAAATTATGCAATAGTTTTAAATTATTTACCAGAAGGAAATTTAAAGGATTATTTACAAAAAAATCATTCAAATTTAACATTAAAAGACAGAATTACAATTTTTAGATATTTATGTGATGCGTTAGATGATATACATCAAAAAGATTTAATCCATTGTGATTTACATAGTGGCAATATACTTGTGGAAGGAGGTAATTGTTATATTACAGATTTAGGATTATGTGGACCAGTTGATGAAAAATCATCAAATAAAATTTATGGAATTATATCATATATTGCACCTGAGCTACTTAAAGACAAAATTAATGCAAAGAACACAAAAGAATTAGATATTTATAGTGTTGGGATGTTAATGTGGGAAATATTTGCAGGTCGTCCACCATTTGATAAAAGGGCTCATAATCATCATTTAATTTTTGATATATGTGAAGGTTTACGACCACCAATATTACCTGAAATGCCTGATGATTATGTGCAAATGATGCAAAGATGTTGGGATATGGATCCATCAAAAAGACCAACTAGTAAAGAGCTGCTTGATTTTGCTGAAAATAAACATAAGGAAATTCTTAAAAATAAAAATTTGAAAACTATTAGTAGCAATAGTTTAATAAAAAGATTACTCAAATTTTCTAAAATAAAAAAACATGAAATTGATTTTAATAGTGGTGGTAGCAGCAGCAGCAACAACAGTGGTAGTGGTGGCGGTAGTGATTTGCAACAAGCACAAAGATCACATCCAGATGCGTATCATACAAGCAGAATCTTGGATGAAGAGATTGCTAAATCGAAAAGTTTAAAGAGCTATACAAGTGATGATTAACTCTTTTCTTTAAAGGTAAATAAAAATTTTATTATTAATTAATCGGAAATTACTGTACATTTAATTCTTACTGACAATATTTTTTATTCACATTTAATTCATTTAATAATAGTAAAAGAAAGAATTGATTAATACTATTTTAATTTCCATTCATTACAATTAATTCTTTTTTTATTTGATCTTTATTTCTTTACTAAATTATAATAATATTTGAAACAATAAACTTTTTACAGTTTTTCGATTCTTGTTAAATGGTGATATCGTTTTGGTTAATACCGATGATTTAACAAGTATGACTGATTATGGCTTAACCTTTGGGTTATCCCTGTCAGTTAATTGCAAGCAACTCACAATGATTCGATGCTTGTCGATTAATTAGTTAACGAACGAGTTTACTTTGGTTCTCGATTACTGTCACCTAGGCAAACCCATAAGCGCACTTAATGGTACTAATAACTGCACATAAATAAGGATGGTCCTTTTATAACTCTCAATGGCTTCCTTGTTGCATATGATTGATAATATGCAACGTGATACCGTTATAACAAGATCGTTATAACAAAGTTTGATTGTGTTATTATTATTTGTAAGTTTCTAGATTTCGATTTCGGTTTCGATTTCCGAAAAATTTTGAAATCGAAACTAAACTCGATAAAATTAAAAGTGAATTAAGTTTCTAATCACATAATCAAAATATAAAGTATTTTTAATTCATTCTCAACAAGTACATGAAATGATTTAAATGATTATTAATTATGTATATTAATATTAGTTCAGTGACGAAAGATTGATTCTCCAAGGAATTTTCTGTGAAAATCAGGTTTCTATGAAATTGTTATTTATTGATAGCAAATTTGTGAAAAATTTTTTTTAATTAATAAAATTTTTATACAATAATAATTTCATTTGCTCAAAAAAAAAACCCCCCTTCCCCGAACATTAATCTATCCATATATATTAAATTATATGAACTTCACGACAATGAGTTCGCAATCAAATGCTAACTCAGAAATCGAAACAGTTATCCGGGAAGCTCGAAAAATTGATGAGTTTTTTGATTCAATTTATAACGATCTAATATCAATTGACCAGAAGTCTGAACAAAAATTTGCTTCCGAATGGAAAGTTTTGAAGGATACTTGGCGTGAAATTTTGCAGGAGTCGAGAGATGAGGCTTCTAGTTTAGTCATTTTTATGCAATATTTCGCCAAAGTGGTGCGTCCTTCACTTCTGGATATAGATGTTCCCATGCAAGAGATATTGAGTATTTTGGAATCTTATATCAAGGTGATTATAAATTAAAATCGTGAAAAGTCAGAAAATATTATTTGGTTAATTAAACCTTTTATGATGTCGCATCTAAAATATTCTAATAGATGGCCGAATTGAAACGAAGTAAAGCTGAAAAATTCCAAAAAAATTTCTACAATCTCAGCAACGATATAAAAACCTTCTTGGCTAGTTACGACAGGATAGGAGAAGATCGGGTTTTTCATGAAGTTCAAGTGCATCAAAACCAGATCATCAAGTCTAAGAATTTACTGAGTGAAGCACTATTGAAGTGGATATCCGCGCTTGCAAATCTTAGTCTTGGCGTAGTCTCCAGTTTAGGTCTAATTCCTAAAAAAAAATCATATACCACTAACACAAAAGAACTTAACAATGCCACCAATGAATTATGGGATGAAATCAAGGATTATCGTTGTGAGTTGTTGTGGTCTTGTAGAATAATATTGGTATTTAACTAACCTCAAATTCACATGCTATTTTATTGATTTATTTTCTATTTCTCTCTATTTACAATGCACAGCCAACTGGGTCGATCGAAAAGAGCATAAAAGAAAAATCAATGTCATAGAAAACACACGCAAATTGGGAAATACAATGAAATCGTTTGACAATATCTGGGGTATGTTTAGTTCCAATATTCAAAATCTTAAAAAAACTTTAGACTTGATCTCAAATATCGACCAACCGAGGGGCAACAATGTTCACGAATTGCTATTACGGAGACAATTAGAATTTATTGTTGAAACTATGAACACCGATATGGATTACCTGAAATTGTATGCCCAAAAGATCGGCTCTGCAAGTAATAAATATTCATTCCTGCGCTACTTTCAAAAATAAGTGTAATCTTATTATGCTTTTTATCTTTCTTATGTTTCTATTTACGTCTCTTATTTTCAAATTTGGTTTCCTCTTTGATGTTAATAAAGGAAGTCATGAATTATATTGAAATGGTTTACTAAATGAGAATTTGTAAATAAAATTTAATGAATATCACGTGATATATATTCTAAGGTTTCAGTTCACACAGATATTCAAAAAAGAATTGCGATTTAGTGTAGTGTACCGATATGGTCAATAAGTTGACACTCAACTCTCGACGTCTTTGACTTTAGGAATCATCAAGTTTAGAACATGTGTTTTTGTCAATTGCGCAAAAACCTTCATATTAAACAACTCATAAAATTTATAGTTATGATGATTAAATTTGCTTTTCTATAGCTGGTGTAATAATAAAAAATTCACATGTGAAAGTCTGTGTTTTGCTGACTCGCGAAATATAATTTATTGCTTTTAAAAAATTTTGAAAACTTGATTTAAAGTGTGTCTCGATGGATTCAAGCTTTCATTAAAAATAAAAGATGTCCAACTAAATACTGGCTGTAGATAATCATAACAAGTGGTTTAGCCAACGGCAAAGTCTAATATTTATAAGTAAGGCTTGAAGCATAAATTTCATGTTACATGTACATTAACAAAAATACGTGTTCCCAATTCTTTGTGATGATTACGTAATAATTCAATAAACAACAAAAAACTGGCAGATGTTAGAAATGGATTATCGGAAAATTAAAGAAAAAATATTTCTACATATTTTTATTGAAAACCAACTATTACTATAAATACACCAGGAAATTTTTCAGATGCAATATCAGGAAATTGCAAATATCATATAAATATTATGACAGGCCTGTAAGTTGTATACTATATTCCGGATTTTTTCAATGGGTCGTTTAACAGCTTTGGATGTTGGTTGAATGAAATAAAATTTCTACTCCAAAAATGATTTCGAAATAAATTACTTACAAATTAAAGTATCAAAACATATTCTCCTAAAGAGTCATAAAACTAGTTTATCATACGTCTATAAAAAATCATACATGCATTACAAATTCTTGGAAACATTTCCAAATTCCCAAAAATGTAACTTTCTTGCATAAATATTGTCCGTATTAGTACATTCATTCTATATAGCTTGATACTTTCTCTTCTGAAAAAAAAAAAAAGTTACTCTTTGAAAATTAATTCATCAAATGTTTTTTGCTAAAAAAAATACTCATTCCAAAAATTAACAATTGATTTATATGATAAAAAGAAGAAATACATATTTGAAAAAAAAATAGATTGGCAATTATAGTGATACCACCCATACTTATCGAAAGAGATGTTTTTAAAATTTTGTTTCATTTTATTATTATTATTATTATGTGTTGTTAGTCCGTCGGTGTCTATGGTAGGTAATTTTTTCCTGGAAGGATATGCTTCGCTTGCACAATAAAAGCCACTTATTGAAAATACAGCCGTTGCTAATCTATATTTACCTGTGTATCATATCAGATAAGGATTATCGCGGTTGGCAAAAGTGGCCTTGGCAAGAGCTTTACCGCCACAGTATTCGGATTCGATGCAAAGGTGGGTAATGATCCAAATTCCAAGACTAAGAATGTGACAATCTACAGTAGTGATAAGTACACCTATGTTGATACTCCTGGGTTTGACGACAGCAATATAAATGTAGATAACAAGGAAATGTTCATTGAAATCCTGACCAAATTGTAAGAACAAGACATCACAGAAATTCATACAGTTCTTTGGTTCGTGGAAAAAGGAGACAGAGGAACATGATCTCTTCAGCGACAAGCGAGATTCATCGAGTCTTTTGCGATGAATAGTAAAATAAAAAGCAATATATGGAATAATGTAATCGTCATAATTAAAGGAGAAAACACTAACACAGGCATTCAGGATATAAACGCTGTCGACTGGGCTGTCAATCCCAACAATGTGGGAGGAGATATGCTTGCTAAGACTTCATTCATCCATGTGTATTTACATGATCGTTTGTCAGAATATCATGTTAAACCTTTTACCCCTGAAGAATTACATGAACAAGGAATATACAAGAAGGAGGAGTTGTTTAATGTTTATAAAAAGATGATACAGGAAAAACATCATGCAGAAAACCCAATAAAGGTCACTTTTAAAGATGCAAAGTGCGTCAAATGTGGAAAGGAAACTGACATAAGACTGGCTGAGAAGTTTCCGTGTCATACGAAGGAGATAAATCACAAACATCCAAATATAGAACTTATTCATACAGGATATGTCACAACTCAAAAAGAATACAGGAAATTTGGAGACAGTTACCTTGATTTCATCCTACCTATAAATATTTTTCGTTATCGTTATGTATACAGAGACAGAGAAGTATGGACCTGCTGTAGGAGGGACTTTGGGTCTTATGGTTGCATTGAACACTGTACTCACTGTGGTAAAGACGTGGCGGATACGTCAGAATGCCCGGGGGTTTGCGAGAAGTGTAACCGGCTTTGGGGAAGACCACATGGCTGTTCCAAGGAAGCGAAACACAAATTTAATGCCAATGCTGATGTAGTTCAATTATACAGATCACATGGTGAATTATAAATCACCCTGGCTCCTGCATCATATATATTTAAATTTGCTCAAGAAATTTTAAAATAAATGAATTACAGTCAGACTCTTATATAGTCACACACCTCGGGACCATAGTGAAATTTCAAGAATTTTGGTGACTATACAGGACATGTTTTTACTATGATTAATTTAGTAGCAGAGAATTTTTCAAATTAACAAAAAATGTGACTATACTATGTTGTGACTATATAGGATGTGACTATATAGGAGTCTGACTGTAAATAAGATCCTATCACATGAATTTAACATTTTCATGGGAAAAAAGGCTTGTAGATACTTGTAAATATTACAATAAAAAAAAATTGTTTTTATTCGGATTAACCTAATAATATAAGGATTGTGAAATTTCAGAGTATGTTAAAAAAAAGGAATTGAATTTTAGTTAAAGCTCGATTTTCCTAGTAAAACCTCCATCTCATCGATTTATATTTGCTGTTGATACCTTTTTTAGCTGTAACATCAACAAATCGTACTATTGAACCATAATAATAACCAATTGTAAATTTTGAAAGTCGTTATTTTCTTCAATGTTTGAATTAAGTGAATTTGAATTTTAAATCCATGTGCGTGAAATTCAACCCAATATCAAAAAAACTATTTTTTTGTTATCCTATTTTTCTAATTCACAAATTATTTTCAACTGAAAAAAGCAAATTATCAATTTTTTTTTTTTTTTTATAACTTATCAGAATTTTTTTTGCTTCAATTTTTTCTTTCAAAATTTTAAAAACCCCTTCACTTACCAATATATGTAAAAACAAAACATCATCATTTGAAATTATACATGACAAAAAATGTTTTCTTAGAGTTACATACACTTGGAGAAAATAGTATTATATTATATCAGAATATCTCTTGTTATGCAAATTAGCTGTTTGATAGTCCCCATAGTATTATTATTTTGATAAAAAATTTATATATATATTCTGAGACTTTCATTGGTTGGATTTCAAGTTACAAACGGTGGAAAAGTCCTGAAAACGGGTTTTATTTAAAGTAAAAAGAACTTGAAATATAATATAAATTCAAATCAGCTAAAAATATTTTTGCCCAAATATATTTTATCTTTTGTCACCTGTTGTTTTACCAAACTCCAGAATTTGCAATAAATGACCAACCAAATCAGTAAAGGTATTGGATGAAGATTCAAATGATGGCAGTAGTATTGACGATGATGACAAGTGCAAAATCTGGGAAAATAAAAGAAAACAAACAAAGATATAATATGCAAGTTTCGATCGTTAAATGTGGTTCATTTGGTTTTCAATGACAAAGTAGTTGCATGACATCAAATATATGATAAGTTATAAGCCTTTGAAAAAATAAAGCAAATATACAGGGTTGTCAAGATTTATTATTTCCTTTTTTTTCACAACCCTTCCATTTTTGAGGATATTTATATAAAGGCAATATTTATGCCTCGGCTTTAGAATATATTGTAACTTTCCAAACATATAGTCCAAATGAACCAACTTACGACAATAGAATAATAATAATAGAAAACCCTGGCAAAATACGCAAACATGGTGTATTGCATGATCTCACATATTACATGAATATCAAGAGGAAATCAAATTTTGTTTTATCATAGATTTTGAAATGGTTTCTGTGGTGGGTGGACTAGTAAGGAGTTTGTTTAGAAGAGAAATTTTTCATTAGAAATTTTAATAATATTTGTATTAGTTATATACACTATTTATTTATTAAATACCTTAGCTTGTCCACTGGGTACTCTTATAAACTAAATAAGAAATATCAGTAATTGCCCGAAGATTTATAATTAAAATCTATGTTATAAAAATGTGTATGAAAATCATTTTATTTTACGTGACACTTTTTGTTGTTTGTCAACTTCGAATAGAGTAGGTAGTGTAGACTAGTGTTGGTCACCAAAACTGTTTTGAAGAGACGAAAGTCAAAACTAAAATTAAAGTAAAAACCGAAACTACATAGTTTTGGAAACCAACATTATATGGTATAAAAATTAATAGATCATCTTCTTGAATGATTTCAAGATTTTCTTTCATCAAGTATTTGGAAATATAATAAACAAGGTAAAAACCATTCACAAAAATTTTAAAGCTTCAATAGTTGAGGAAATATCAAAATTTTGGGTTGAATCAGGAACTGCAACGTCATCAGCAAGATAAGACATATGAGCTCTAAATCTCTGCTGAAACTATTAATTGTTGGTATTATCAGTGTGTAAAATTGAGGGTGCAAAGGGTAATGAGGTATCAGCAAATATCAGAATCTGATTATTCTTTAAAAAAATTAGCATACTGATAAGTTAATAATATTTTTATCATAGTCTAAAAGCCTATTTGTAATTAAATTATTGGTTAAATATTTCTAAAGCTTTTACTAAAATAATATCATATCTTGAGTAGCAGTTGGGGTTTTCTATTCAAATGTTTAATTGAATAAAACAAATAATTTGAGTAATAATAATTTGAATAAAGCAAAATAAATGAAATAAAATGAATAAAATGAATAATAATAAAACAAATAAAACAAATAAAAGCAAATAAAACAAATAAAACAAATAATAATTCAAATAAAAGCATATAAAGCATATAAAGCAAAGCTTGTATTATGAATAGAAACTGTGCATTAATACTAAAATCAAAAAACAACAATAAATAAACAAACAAATAGCTTTTATTACGAAATAATTAATTTTGTTCATTTGGTGTAATACCACCAATTTTTTGCTCCAGTCTCTTTATAATTGCGAAAGAACTGGTTTAACGGTGTCAGCTATTGTTTAATTGTTGTTTTATTAGCAGTTGTTTGACTGCATGGAGTATTTACTGAAATTTTTTCTGGTTGTGTTAGCACAATCGCAACATCAGGATTTTCTGAATACTTCCATTTTTGTACCGGTTACGAGACTTCTTCTTGAGAAAACATTCCATTTACTTAGAATTCCATCTTTGCAATGATTAAAAGGTTTAGTTGATCCTCGAGAATCATTTAATTGGGGCGGTGGAAACTTTTTAAAGAGCGGATGTTCCAAAGGATTGAGTCATTAAAAGATCATTTACAAGATTCCATAAAGAGACAAATACATACATCCTTTAAATATTCTGATATGAGCAAGTCAATTCTATCTATCCCTTTCATTTGTGATGCCTTTATTCAGGAAAAAGTTACATAAAAAAGGTCACTATATTACTATAGGTTTACATAGATTTGACGATGATAATGTTTAACTCGTTTATTTATTTATTTTTGAAACAAGTAAAGAATTACTTTTTATAATATACACCCAATAGTCAGCCAACTATAAATTATTCGTCATATCTACATTAACCTTTTTTTAATGCGATTTTCAATATTTTTTCAGATGATTTAATAATTAATCCCCATTCTCAGAATTCTTTACCTTGTTCTTTCTTTATATTGACATGATGTTTTCTTCGTGATTTTTTTATTTGGCAGAAAAACTTTCAAAAATATTAGTGACTTTATGATTTTGGAGGGAAGGGCAACCGTTAGAGAAAAAATTTTATCTAATAGATTCTCATACATGATTGGCGAAACACGAATTAACTATTTTTCATACATAAATTTAAACATGTGGCACAGTACATAATGTCTTTAGATGATGCACACCAATACAATAGTCGACAAAAAGATCGTTTTATTGAAACGAAGTCCAAACAACAACAATGTTAATAATAACATTGACAGCAACACACAAAACGTTAATGAAACTATCACTAATAGTAATAGTTTTACAACAACGTTTGAGTTAATGGAAACTCCTCCTAACAGATCAGCTTCATCATCACCAAGCATTTTTGATGGTGAACTGACACCTGAACAAACTGCACATTTGGATGAAATAGATCTTGCTACTGGACTTGATGGATTTTTATTAGCAGCTCTTAGAAGTCCTAAGGATAGGATGTTCCTTTTGAAATTAGATCAAGAAATGGAACGGTTTATTGATGATGAAAGGTAAGAAGGATATATTTATAAATATTTTTTCTCTATTTTCAATCAATAAATATTTATTTTTTTTTATTTCTATTTCATTTCCTAATATTACCATTTTTATAACTATACCTACTATTATTATTATTATTATCGTTATTATCCTCACCATTACTCATTTAATAATTAATAATTAATAATTTAGTCGTTCACGGTTAGAATTTCCACCCATGAATTCTTATCAAAGGCTTATTATTCACCGTGTTGCACAGTACTTTAAGTTATCTCATGTAGTAGATGCTAGTGGTAAAGCAGTTATCTTATACAAATCTCCAGAAACGCAAATGTAAATTACCCACTTACTATTAATTCTCTTATTTATTGATGATTATAAAATTTTGCCTTGTACATCATCAAAATTAATTAATTGTATTACGAAAAATTTTTTTAGACCGATTCTTCGATTTTCAGATCTTCTTGAACAAGATGAAGAAGAAAAACCTGAAAAATCAGTGAAAATCATGAAAAGACAGCAAACATATCCATTAACAAAACAACAAAGAGCATTAATGAATGATCCTGATAGTATTTATGAAGGAGAACGTAAAATTTTATCAATTGAAGAAAGGGAGGCTGCCTATTTGAAAGCTAGAGCAAGAATATTTAAAGATGTTGAACGACAAAATAATTGTATTTTAAATGATCAGCAACTGGAAGAAAGCAATGAAAGTTCAATGGTTTTAAATGCTGGCGGTGTTGGTGTTATTAATATTAATAATAATAATAATCCTGGTAATGATGATGATGATAATAATAATAATAATAATAATAATAATAATAATAATAATAATAATAATAATATAAAAAGTAACGAGGCAACTAATGAAAGCCCGTCATTATTTTCTAATAAGCAAAAGACAAATAAAAATAATAATAATAATCAAAATAATCAAAATAATCAGAATAACAATAAAAATTCACAGCAACAAAATAAAAATAATAATAAAAATTCAACAAATAAAAATAATAATTCAAAAAATAGGCAACAACAGCAGCAGCAGCAGCAGCAGCAGCAGCAGCAGCAGCAACAACAACAACAACAAAATCAACAGCAACAACAAAATCAACAGCAACAACAAAATCAACAATCATCTCGTTTTCAAATATATAATTATAATGTTTTGATAGATAGTAATAGACAATTTTACAATATGTCAAAACAAGGTCGTCCCATGAACAACTTTCCTCCTGGACCTCCTCCTTCTACGATCATGCAAGGTCATTTTGGGCGTCCATTTTTTAGTGGACAACCACCGCCGCCACATGTAAACATGTATGATTCTAACATGTTTCCTTTGCAAGCAAATATGTTGCCACCTGATATGAAAGTTAGTCATCCAAATCATCCCCCTATGCCAAATCCTTACATCAAACATTTGAATCATCAGTATCAACAACCATTACCTCCTCCCTCTTATCTCCAATCTCATGGTCATCCTCCTACACTTCCAAATTCAAATCACGCCATTAATTCATCTATTTCTACGCCCGGTAGTGGTGGAAGTGAAGGAAATAATGATAATAGTAATAATAATAATAATAATAATAGCAACAACAACAACAATAGTATTATAAACAAATCAATGTCCATTCATGAAAATACAACAATTCCATTAATGTCACCACATATATTTTCAGGTTTAATGGGTCCACCATCAATGCCGGCTCTTTCTTCAGTCTCGCATCGTAACAACAATGGCAATAACAGCAACAACATTAACAATAATCAACAGCAACAACAACAACAACAGCAACAACAACAACAAATGCCTCAAGAATTTATAAATTTTCAACGTATGGGTTTGATTCCATCCCCAATGATGGGTTTTCCACCTCAACAAGTATCATTACAACCACCACCATCACACCCAGCAAGCCTTGGTGCAATTAGACCACCAAAATCAACAGAATTATTTGATCCAAATAATCCACCGTCACAGCAATCACTATCACTACCACAGTCATTACCACAATTATTACCACCATCACCGTCGCCGTCATTTCCTACAACAACAACAACAACGGAAACAGCATCACCATTGCCATCAGGTCTTTTCTTTAATTCTTCAAATCCTTCTAATTTATCAAGATCCGCATCAACTCCACAACTATTTCCATCAACAGCGACATCATCAAAAATATCTGCCCCCAATTCACCTTTTAAAGGTGTAACTACTTCTTTAAAAAATTCTTCTGGTTGGGTTGGAGGCCCAGTTGGTAAAGTCGGTGGTACTAATAATTCTACAATATTTTCACAAAATACAAATAATAATAATAACAATAGTAATAATAATAATAATAATAGTAATAATAATAATAATAATAATAACAACAACAACAATAATAATGCACGCAAAAAACAAAATATTAATGATAACAATAATAATAAAAACAACAATAATAAAAATAAAAATAATAAAAACAATAACAATTATATTAATAACAATTATGTTAACAATGTTAATCCGATAGTTGATGGTAGTATGATGAGGTCGCTTAGCCTTTCTTCAAATAGTTCTCAACAAAATTGCAATTATCTACAACATAGAGCTTCATCTACTCCATCACTCAATAACAACAACAACTACAACAATAACAATAGCACTAATAATAATAATGATAATAATAATAATAAAAAGAAAGAGGGCCCACTTTTATTTGATTATACTTTACAAATACCATACGAAGGAGTTAAACCTAACCAAGGTATTTATTATAATAAATATTATCTACATTAATATTTTTTTAATAATAATAAATAATAAATTACATTAATATATGTGATGGGTTTTTTATCAAATTTAGCTAATGAACCACCAAAACCAAGTCATATACTTGAACTTTATGATTTTGCAGAGTCAGACAATCTAGCAAATATTGTATTGATGAATGCAACTATTAAACGCGTTTATCCTCCTTCAACGAGCAACAATAACACATTACCAAACAGACGACCTACAGTCCTTGCAATATTTAAAAATTCTAAAGAAGCCAATAAGTCGGTTCAAACATTTAAAAGTTCCAGGTTTAAACTTAGAACATGGGAACCTTTACCGAAAAATAATAACATCAATGGTAATCTTAGTATTAGTAGTGGTAGTAATGACAATAATGAAAATTCTACAATCTCAGTTGCTCAATTATTGGGAACATCTACTTAATCGACAACTTCTTGTTCATTTATTGATTAATAAATCAGCCAACCAATAATCATATTGTATATATTGTTTAGTATAAACATTTATTATAAAAAAAAGTTTAATTACATAAATGTATCTTTACTACCACTACTACTACTACTATTATTATTACTATTTAAAACAATTTCTCTTTTTTTTCTTTTTTTTACTTTTTTTTCTTTTATTTCTTTTATTTTTTTTTTTCTTTTCTCAAATTCATATATATATTAACTTAATTACAATAAATAGAACATTTGCAATATATATACATTTATATTCATGCCACCACATTGATTTTATGCCAAATTTTTTTGAAAGCGCTAAAATTGTTGTGACCATAATAACTGAAGTGATTGTTTGTAATAAAATACATTGATAAATAACTTCTTGTTTATGAGATCCTTCTTATTCGATTTACTTGGTAACACTAGTTTAATCTTATAAGTGTTATTACATACCGATTTTCAAATAGACTATATATTCTACCGTTTAGTATAATTTTCTAATTGTTGAATGAAATTATCCGATTGATGACAAGTTGACCACCAAATTTCTGATGTTTCATGATTTCAAAGGAATCACATATCACAAAAAGTACAATTTTCTGAATACTTTGAAAATTTTGGCATTGAAGTTTTATAGATATCACCATCTATTTATTCTATCATTGAAATTCGCCCGTATTTCACTTCACGAAAATTTTTAAAAAAGGCGAATTGGCAATGCAAAACAAAATAATATTTTAAATATTAACCTGCCTCAATACTTTGGATGAAGGAAAAATGCAAAATGATATATCATTATGCCTAGTTTTGCTAAAAATCTCAATAAATAAAAATGAGCATCCATAGGAGATGGTATAGTTTTAATCGCGATTGCCACTTTGATAAGATGAAGTCATATTACTTGACTCTATAAACTTGGCTCCTTATTGATAAATTTATATTGGTGCAAAAAGTGATCCTAATTCCATAAAAAGATATCAAATATTGAAACCTACTCGTATGGATCTCAAGAGTCAAGAATATCTTTATAATAACATTTGCCCATTGGTAAAAGATGAATTTTAAAAAAATCACTCACTTGTCCAAAACCAACACAAAATGCTGGAAAATTATTTTATCTGCCACACCATCTATTAGGGTTTCGATTCCCCATTTTAATTCGGGTATGTAAAAATCGATCCCTCCGTTAACAGAAAAAAAATTTTCCGGCTTCCGGTGAGATGTATTTGCCATACGATTTCAGATAAATGGCGCCGTTTTTGATTTACCTATATTGTATATTAACGTTTTTCTATCAATTCTGGTATATTGATTCTTTTGGTGGTTCGGTCAACGAGAACCCTTTTTCCATTTGTCTCAATTTGTCGGTAGTAGTAGTAGTAGTGGTAATGACATTGTGTCGTTTTCAGAAGTGATCATCAATGTTATGAGCCTGTCTTGTGTATCGTATAATGAAGAATTCATTCAATTACACTATTATTGATGATTGACAAAATGAATTTAAATGAAATGTGTAGAAGGCATTGAGATATAATAATATTAATATATAATAATTTTCTCGAAATTGTAAATCATCCATCTAATCATTATTGGTTGATTATTCATCTTATCAGGTGATATTAATTTATTAAGATAAATAAAAAATTCTATTTTATTTTTTGAGAATTTCCTTTTAAAATAATAATGTCGTTACGGAATTCATTTCCAAGAATCAACGCTAATTCCATCATTCCCTCTTCCTCAATTAATAATGATAAAGTATTTCGACCTGATTTGAATATAAAACTTGCCTGTTCACAATGCAACAATCAAAGACCAAAAATAATTGAGGAATACACGTCAGGAGACTTAGTGTGTGGTGATTGTGGACTAGTTCTTGAAGATCGTATAATTGACACAAGTTCAGAATGGCGTAACTTTGCTAATAATGACGAAGGTAATAATGATCCATCAAGAGTTGGAGCTCTCGTATTTGATGGCGAACAATTAGATGCTACTATTATTTCGAAAACAAACAGTTATACCAGTTCTAGTAAATTTGCTAGTGATGATCAATCTTTTTCTAGAAAAACTAATTTAAGTAAAATTCAAGCTAACATGAATAAAGATAGTTTGAGACAGCCGTTCAAAGAAATTGATTCAATGTGTAGTTTACTAGATTTGAAAAAAGATGTGTCAGATACATCAAAACAACTTTACAAAAGAATAGTAGACGAGAAGCTATTTAGATCAAGAAAGGATAAAAATTATGTATTCGCTACATGCATCTACATTGCCTGTCGAATCAAAAAAGTTGGTAGAACCATGCTTGAAATCAGTTCAGCTACACAAGTACCAAAAACCGAGATTGTTAAATGTTTCAGTGTGTTGACGAAAACATTTGAATTGAATTTGGGTGTTATGACATCTGAAGATTTAATAACAAGATTTTGTAATCGTTTACAATTGTCGCCGGAAATTACAAAAATCTCATTGGACGTTAGTAAACAAGCTGAATCATTGGGTCATTTTACAGGCCGAACTCAAACCACAATTGCTGCTGGATGTATTTATTTTGTTTGTGGGCTTAAAAAAGAACACGACGTTAACAATAATACCAACAATATAAATGAGATTGTTAAAGTTGCTGGAGTCGGTGCATCTTCTATCAAATTTATCCAACGTGAATTGTACGCAATCCGTGATAAAGTCTTATTGGATTCTTCTAATCTTCAACAAAATCAATAAAAAATTCCATCAAAAAGGATGAATAAATAAATATTTCTAAATTAGTTATAATAATTTTAATTGGTTAGCTTTTGCAAAAATATAAAATTCGCAAACTTGATTATTATTTTATTGCATTAAGAATTAAACTTTGAAAGGTATTGATTGTATTGGTTTGGCCCAACCAGTAATTACAAATTCTTGAAAAACTTTATTATATGACCAATATTCTGGTCTGAATTTGTGAAAGAATTCTAATGTTAAGTAATGTTAAGCATCTTAGTAATTACACTTTCAAAAAATATCAGAAGAAAATTTGACTAATTCTTTTTATATATAAATTTTTTTTGTGAATAATAATAATAATAATAATAATAACAATAATAACAATAATGAATTTATTGAGATGGTTATTATTAATAAATTGAATAAATTGACTTTAATTTGCACTACATCATTGCCACCATTAGAAAGAACATCCAAAATCAATTCAGTGGCAGAGCCAAGAGATTTTATCAAGAAAACAATCAAACTACTGCAAATACAACTCCAAATGCAGCTCCAAGGAAAAGACCAAAAAAACCACCAAATATTGATAAAATAAATAGTGTACCAATACCACCAATTGCTGCCAGCATGCTAAAGACAACAGGCATAATGAATAAAGCAATGAATCCACAAATCACCAATGTGCAAAGATAAAAATAATGCCAGATTGGATGATCTTCTTGTAACTCTTAATGTAAAATGCTAAATTTTTTACATTGTTTCCATTTGAATTCTTTGTTGTACTTGGGATTTTATCATCAATGTTTTGATTAAATTTTTCTCTGAAATCATTATTATCATATTTTGATTGACAACTTGATAAAATTAGTTCTTAATAAATATTACAAAGAAAAAAAGAATTTAGAATTAGTATTATAGAAAAGAAGGAAGGATGAATGAATGAATACCATTATCATTTTGTTTATTAGCATCAGGAAAATGGGTACAAATATTATGCATATATAATACGCAATTGCAGGGATTAAGCATATAATATATGTACAATTTGCATACATAAAAAAATACGTGATTTGTATGCATATTATATGCTTAATCCCTGCAATTGTGTATTATATATGCATAATATTTGTACCCATTTTCCTGATGTAGGAGTAATGATCCGTAGCAGTAGTAATAGCAATAATAATAGTGATAATAGTAGTAATAGTAGTAATGATGGTGATAATAATAATAATATTATTATTAACAATATCATTATGATAGTGATGGTGATCCTGATGACACATATGTAGATTCCGATGGCTCTGATGATTAAATAAACTCCATCACCTGATGTTTAAATATAATTTGATACATAAACAATTACTTTTATTGACAAAAAAATATGCAAAAGGTTTCCACCTGTGTGTCCACTACTCATTTTTTCTTTTTTTTTGCACTACAATTATTACAATTATAGAGGAACCACAAGGTGAATCTACAAAGTCATATGATTTCATAACATGTACAAAAAAAATTATTGCAGGAAAGAAAGAAAAATTGTTGCTGCTAGAATTAGTCAAGCTTTGTCATAAGTCCCACCTCAAAGAAAAAAGAATTCTATAGTGGTAATGACATTGCCTATATTTATTTCATTATTACATGTGAATAGATATATATTTATTCTAATGAGAAATAATAATAAAAATAAAATTCACACAAATTTTTCATTGGTTTCAGCAGTTCCAATGATGTTTTTCAAACTGTTCCAGTGATTTTCTCACTGGAACTGGAAATTCCCAACACTGATGTAAATATATTGTAACTTTGGAGGAAGTAAAGAATCTTTAATCAATGTTTTAAATATAAGCAATAGATTCACTGCATTTGTTGACTATAATGATGGATTCCAATTATATGGTAGTGGTTCAACTCTTAGTGCCAATCTTGCTTTATATACCAATTACAAGAAATACTTGTTTCTATTTATTTCAAAATAATAAATACAATTTGATGAAAATGAAAACCTTTGAAAATATTAAAAAACCTAGTTTTATATGGGCACATTTTCAGATCTTGGGAGAAAAAGTAAATAATCAAAAAGAATAACATAAAAATGATTAACAATAGAATAGATGATTTATATAATAAACTACCAACAAACAATGTTCTATTGGTCATTGATCAACCAAAAGAAAGCAAGGAAAAAGGAATTGTTTTTAGAGTTAAAAATAAAAAGTCAAATTGAAAAATCAGATAAAGAGAAGGAATAGCATTAAAAAT